GAAATATCATTGGCAAATATGTTCTCCCATGCAGTGGGCTTTCTTGTTGTTTTGTTGATGGTTTCTTTTGCTGTGCAGAAGCTTTTTATTTTGATGTAGTCCCATTTGTTTATTTTCTCTTTAGTTTCCAATGCCCTAGGAGCTGTATCGGTGAAGAAATTGCTTCGGCATATGTCTGAGATTTTGTTGCCTTTGGATTCTTCTAGTATTTTTATGGTTTCCTGTCGTACATTTAAGTCCTTTATCCATTTTGAGTTTATTTTTGTGTATGGTGTAAGTTGGTGGTCTAGTTTCATTTGATTCTACCAATCCAAGATCATGGTATGTTCTTCCATCTGTTTATGTCTTCCTCTATCTCTTTTGTCAACGTCCTGTAGTTTTTTGAGTAGAGGTCTTTTACCTCTTTAGTTAAGTTTAAACCTAGGTATCTTAATTTTTTTGGTGCGATGGTAAATGGGATTGTTTTTTAGTCTCATAACCCACTTTAAATCATGAAATACTAGGATATGTGACATGTAAAAAATAGTGTATCTTGGAATGACTGTTAGCAATATATTGAGACACTAGTGGCCCAGTGCACGGATTTGTGCACATTGAAAGGAAATTAATTAGAAGAAATATTTTAATATCACTATTTGCCCTTTCTCTATAATAGAAGTGTCAGAGATGAAAGAAAATTAGTAAAATGTATATGAAAATAATATATAAATTGAATAATAAATAAACAATAACATGATATAACAACAAAGACATGATATAAAAACAACAAAAACATGATATAAAAATAACAAAAACATGATATAAAAACATTGATAAAAACAATGACTGATAAATTGATTAAACCTATTCTATTATCTCCCTGTATACCACAGTAAGATTAAAAACACTTTCAGAGTGCTTGACTAATTTCTCTTGAGATGAAGTACTTACCAACTTTTATTTTAATGTCACACACTCTTTGAACTTGAGAGAAAGCAATGTATAACTGACCATGTCTGAAAACAGGTTCAGGTAGAATATTCCTACTCTGTCTAGAGTTTGTCCTTGTGATTTATTAATAGTCGTCACAAATGCTGGCATCATGGGAAACTGTCTTCGAATTAATTTAAATGGGAGGCCAGTGTCAGACGGGGACAAACATCGCGCATGCACGAGTCATTTATTTTTAAACTAGAGGCCTGATGCACAAAGATACGTGCAAAATGGGCCTTCCTCCCCCTGGCTGCTGGCACCACCTTTGCTCCGGTCTTTCTGCCTTCATTCTGGCCCGGAGCTGCCTTTCCGCCTTCCCACGCTGCCCAGAGGACCGGAGCGGCTGGGGTGGTGCAGAACACCTGTGTCCCGCCCTGCCCCCTCTGCTCACGCCTGTGTATGCAAATTAACCCGCCATCTTTGTTGGGTTAATTTGCACACTCACTCCTGATTGGCTGGTGAGTGTCACGAAGGTGCAGTCATTTGCATCTTTCTCTTTTATTAGTGTAGATTGCCAGTACGCGTCATATGTACCGTCCGGTTGGTTGGGCAGTTGGACCAACGTGTGGTTGGTCACTTAGCCTTTTATATATATAGAAGAAGATGTGCGTCATATGTACCGTCCGGTCGGTTGGATGGTTGGACAGATGGTTGGTTGGTCAGTCACTCACTTACCCTTTTATATATATAGATATATAGATTATATCTACTGCTGGATTTTTGTTGATTGCTTGAAGGAAGTAATGACTTGGGAGACAGACATGTTGTTAAGGAAGGGATATTTTCTAGGAGGATAGGTTTTTATCCTTTGTTATGAAGTGTTCTGTTTTTGCTTTTTAGGTTTTCCTACTACTTTTATCCCAAACCATCTGACTTACTCCTGGAGTTTTATCTCTTCTCATTCCTCTATGGTCATGGTGTGCTTTCTGAATGGGTGATGCTGGAAAGCTGTGATTAGTTGTCTATTTTAAATGTCATTAGGAAAACTGGTTTGTTGGTAGTGTGGCTACCTTGTTCTGCAGTTCTGAGAAGTCTAAAATTTCTCCCCAATTTTATAAAGGAGAACAGCCTTACCTAATTTAACAGTCACTATATGTAACCCAGGAGAGTTACTTTGATAATGATCTGTAGCTTTCAGGTTTGAAACATTCAATCCTTATACAACAATGTTTATTAATACAATGTTTATTAAAAAGCAGGATCAATATGGCTAATGAGATTTTTAACTTATATAATGCTACAGAAAAATGTATCTCTGGCTTTACACATGGTTTGTATTCTCATTTTTTACCCTACACGGTGATTAAAGATGAAGTGTTGATGTTAATTTACGTCCCCGTTGATGATAAGAGGACTAAATATATTTTTTGTTTTATTTTTGCAATTATTTTGAGAAATAATTCACATAACTTTTTTTTTTTGTCTTAAGGTGAAAATGCGATTTTTAGTATATTCATAATGCTGTGCAACTAACACTAGCATCTAATTCTAGGACATGTCCATTGCCCTAAAAAGAAGTTCTATGCCTGTTAGTCACTCTCAACTCTCCCCTCCCCCAATCTCTGAAAACAACTGGTCTACATTCTGTCTATGGATTTGCCTATTCTGGACATTTCATAAAAATAAAATGTATTTTTTATTTTGTTTAGACACTACCAGAAGCATCTTTACCAAATTATGCCACAAATTTGAAAGATAAGAGTTCTTTAGTTTCATCTCTTTATAAAGTTATCCAGGAGCCACAAAGTGAGGTAAGTACTCTTACAGTTTATTGTATTAGAACTATTGATCGTACTAGTACAGTTGATTGATTTTTAAATTTTTATTTTGAAATATAACATATATAAAAGAGTGAGAAACATATGTGTTTAAACAGCTATAATGTACATTATTGCCTTTGAGAAATGGGGTAGAGGGGGTAAGAAAAGAATACTTTATGTTCAAAAATGGCAGAGTAAAAAAACATTTATAATAAAATGAACTCCAGTGTACCCACCCCCAGGCCAAGAAATAAAATTATTACCAAAATCCAAAAGCCATTTCTGAACATGTTCCTCCTTATCTCTCTCTCTATCTTGCTTGAGGTAGCCTAGAAAAGTCTGGGTCACTACATTCATCTACTCCTTTGGCAAATATTTGTGTCCACTATGAGCCAGCTGCAATGCTAGGCAATAGAAAATCAAAGATAAGTAGCATCTTTCAAAGATGAATAGCATTCCTCTCAAAAGAGGAAGGAGTAGAAAGTAAGTAAACACATACTTCCAAGGCAATTCTTAACTGATGCTAGTTGGATATGCTTGAATTTGCTAGGTGTGCAAGATAAAAGACCATTCCAAGCCGTAGGGATAGTTTACAGAGGCCTGAAAAAATGTAAGGCATTTAAGGAAAGGCCAGCACCGGCTGGTGTTTTCCCCAATCCTTCTTTCTTTTCTCTTGCTTCCGTCTCCTTTTCTTTCTTTCTTGGTAGCAAATTTAGTTCGAAGGTGATAAAATGATCTATATTCCAGATTCTGATGCTTATAAATACCACCATTCATAGTAGAAATAGTAAAGGGTTAGAAATAGTGTAGACAATAAAAAGGCATGGCAGTTAGAAAAAAAGCAAATACATAGGCTAATGCAGTAGTTTAGAGAGGATAAGACTGGTAGGAACTGAAGCTGGGAAGAGATTGGGTTGTAGCCATTGTGGATCTTGAAATCTGTCATAAACAGTCTAAACTTTTTTGCACTGAAGGGATGACTTGATTAGATTATTCTTTTAAGAAAGTGGCTATGTGGAGGATAGATTTGGAGAATGGAAAAATTGAAAACAAGAGACTAGGAAGCTATGAAAATAGCCAAGGAGGGAGCTGTTGAGAACCTGAGCTGTGCCAGTTAGAATGGAAAGAGGGGGAATAGAGGGGAGGAATATGAGGCATGTGATTCTTTTGTACTTGATTTTGGTAGAAGACATGATAGGCTCTAATACCATGAATATTATTATTATTCAGTGCTAAAATAACTTATACTTTGGAGTTCAGTCCTATATAGACCTATGTGCCTTTGGGATGAAACTATCAAAACTAGAGTCTTTGGTTATTTGAGTAGTTCACCTCTTTTGGAGGGGATCTGGAATAACTCAGCTTCTGCTGAGTGTGCTATAAAGTGCATCATGAATTTTAAGTGCTGAAGGAAAGAATAGGGAGTATAGTGACAAAAATGTTAACTGGAATAACTGAATAGAATAATCATATTTTGCTTGCCCCTTCCTCCTCCCCAAAGCTTCTTAATTTGTATAGTATGTGTAAGTTGTTTCCTTGAAGAGTTTTAGTTTTTATTTATTTATTTTTTTTTGTTTTTTCAATTTCTTTTTTTTTTAAATATATATTTTTATTGCTTATTTTGCTTGCTTCCTCCTCCCCAAAGCTTCTTAATTTGTATAGTATGTGTAAGTTGTTTCCTTGAAGAGTTTTAGTTTTTATTTATTTATTATTTTTTTGTTTTTTCAATTTCTTTTTTTTTTTAAATATATATTTTTATTGCTTAAATTATTACAAAGAGTATTACATGTTTCTCCTTTT